ACAATAGAAAGCAAGCCTATCTCAGATAGACTTGATCCATAGGAGATTGCATTCTTATATTTTTTGCTTCCTACTATAGTGATCTCAAGTTAACAAGCCAACCAACAAAAGACATCACTAAAATTAACAGTGAATAAAATTGTACTCTATTTCACCGAAAATTACCCAGTTTATCTAAAATTGTGTGTAAAATGTCTGTTTTGTAGAAGCTTATTAGATACTATTAATTATTCTCTTTCTGTAGAGATCAGTATCTTGTTATATAAAAAAATGCATAAAAAATTGACCTTATTAGGGTAGAAAAGTGACAATATTGGTACTTTGAGGTTTCTTTTTTCTTTTTTTTCCCTTCCACTACATATCAAATGCTGTCCATCCAATACTTTGAAATCATTGTGTTGACCACTAATGGACTTTAATTGAATTGAAACTTGGATTTAGCAATAGGACTTAGGCATAAATAAAATACTTTCAAACTAAAAAGTAAAGTAAGTATCACTATGGATAGTCTTTAAATATATTTGCTTTTCTTTATTTTCCAAGAACTCTGAAAGATATTGCAGCAGTCATATTGTTAATTTATAAAGAAGAGTTATTTTTTAGTTCTTAAAGACAGATTGGTCTATAGTGCCAATATTTCATTGATGCTGCCACTAATCTGAAACACAGTATTTAAACTTAATTAAATCTAGGACAAAATATTTTGTTTATTTAGTCCTGGGGACCAGAAGAAAAAATGAGCAGGAATAGCAAACTTTTAGAATAGAATGGTTTTGACAATGATAAATTGTCATCATGACTTTTGTGTTTCTTGGGAGACAAAGTAGATGAATCACAGGTAAGCAAAGAAGAGATGAATAGCATTTTTTGGTCAATATCATATACTTTACCTTTTGTTGGCAAAAGTGAATATTCTTTCAGGGTAAACATGAAATGTACTGAAGACTTGAATTTCAAGAAGTTGACTGACTATATCTGGATCATACAACGTTTCAGCTTGTGCGTAGACAATATAGAACAGCAAACAAAAATTCTTTTCAAGAATTAAGGATAGATGAAAACTGTATTTTCACAATTGACTCTATCTGAACCATCTCCGAATAAGATTAAAGAGTGATTTTCAGAAAATTTAGTCTCAGAGACTAATACTGATCTTCCAAGGACCTTGACACTAGAGAAGTCTAGAAAGTAAACATAGCCTTGACTATAATTTAAAGTTTCTTTTGGAATACAAGCTCACTTCATTGTCTCTTAGTAGAGTTTTCAACTTAACAGATTATCACTGTAGCCAGTGTTGCTTCATTCAGAAACAAAAATGGCAGCATGCATCATCCAACAAACACCGTGTAGTAATTAACTGTCATGGAAAGCTACCAAGGTGAAAAAAAAAAAAAGGTATCTGGGATGTCATTCTTCTATTTTTTTGAGCTCTTCAGAACTTGATTGTTCTGTTAGTGTTAAATATTTCTTTTCACCATTTTCCATAAAAAAACTTTTTCATTTTATGTGGTAAAAAGGAAATGATCTGACCTCATGGCAATATATGTGGGATAGAACTAATAAGCAGAAAGCATGGTTTGTATTAAGGACGAAACACTATAAATTCCATTTGCGTATGGTATCTGAAAAAGACATTTTAATAAGCTGCAAAAATCAGGATCTGAGAATAAAAATATGACTTGGTAATATAGGGATCCTTTGAACTGGATATCTTTATCATTCGTATCTTTATCATTGGTTTAAACACTTGTCCTTTGAACCTACTTTCCGAAACTCTGGAAATGTGAATGACCATCCCACTCTGTGATCAAAGTGTACCTTCTATACAAAGACTGAAGGTTAATCTTTTCTTTTCTATAATGTTCTAATGTTATCAACAAAATTACTTAATGATTATTGTATGAAGTGATAACCTAAAAAAAAAATGTGCTCAGCTTTGTACTTTCCATGATCTTTAATTAGGATATTATATCAGGAATGCAAGAGTAAGAGAAAAGGTATTTTCTCCCTCTGGTTTTGAACTTGTGGTTCTCTGTTTCCTGGGGGACATTGTACTTATCTGTTTGTTCCTGTTTCTGGCACATGGAATCATGCTCATTTCTTATCCTTTTGCCTTTACCCATTCTCACTTCTGTGGAGCTATTATGTTATTTTGTTCTTATTTCTGGCCTTTCTTCTGATACTGTCCAACACAATATTCTTATCATTCATGTCTTCTGCAGTCTGGCATCTGCAAGTACACACATGAAGATCATTAGTGATATTCTCCCCAGTCCAAAGTCCTCTTTCAGCCTTTGAAATTTTGAATCTGAAACGTTGACCAAAATATTAGCCATGCTTTCTTTGTTTCAAAGTCTTCAGTTTCATTTTATCTGTGAACAAATTTTCTTTGTTTTCCAAATTATCTCATTCTTTTCTGAAAGTGATTCTATATATACTTTTCTTCTTAAAATAGTCATAAAAATTGTTTGCTTTCATCCCTAGCCATGACCTTTCTCCTACATAATGAGTTGCAAGGTTTTAGTTGCTTACTGGGCATTTGGACCTTAATGTTTTGCTGTCATTTCTAACTCAACACTCTAGAAAAGAACTGACAGAATTCCTGTCAAACTAGTTCCTGTTTCCTTTGTGCTGTTTCTCTTATCATCTTGAAGTTATCTATGGTATCTTGCTTATTCCCATACACCAGTGTTTTGTCTATGCTATTTTTGTTTAAATTTCCATTTATCTCTTCTTTCATGTCCCTATTACCTCAGCCCTAAATCAGTCACTTATCAGTTCTACTCAATCACATGAGATAAAGCATGTAAAAGAACTTTGTCAAGTAACAAATTTAAAGTGAAATACAAATCTTGCTCTTATTATTGCTACTATTATACTACTGCTCTCATCACCATGAAATCCTAACTAATCTCCTTCCTGTATGTGTTTCTACTCAGATACTTTCTTGCATTACCTGAAGATATTCAGAATACAGACTAATCCCAATATAATATTTGTCTTTCCCTTTCTTGCTAGTTTCAATTTCGAGTGCTGATATTTAAAACTCCATGAAAGACCAATCTATTTCCCCGGTGTATGCTTCTTCTTAAAAATAAATAAAATCTGTCTACGCCTCTCATAGTAAATCATCATCCTGGTTCCAATCCCCTTTAGAGAATTCTGTTTACACCATTTTTCATGATTTCACTCTTAAAAGGTTTCCAAATTCTCTTATCATCCAGAGAAGTCCCACTTCTCTTGTCCTGAATATCCAAATTAAGATGTTTTTCTCAATACATACAATTATATTATTGTTACTTTCCATGAGCATATTTTGTATATCAACTTGTTTATAAGGTCCTTGAAGCAGATAAAACAATGATTTTACTTTCCCATAATGTCCTTGAAAAATTGACTTTTAAAAAACATATTTCACTATTAATTGATGTATTTTTATAAAAAATAAATCCTCTACTTTTGAAAATACTAGAAGAAATAGCTCTAATGCTATTTCTATATTCCATCAAAATCTATATAAAGTGAGGTTTCAGTTAGTATTGTCTAAATTTGTTCCATTAATAAATAGTATAATATTAGTAAAGATTTTTTTTAGTTTGTATGGTATAAATATTATTCTTCTCACATATTTATTTATTAAAATTTTCATGAAATAGAAGATAACACAATTCATGAGTTAAAAACTGAAAGAAATATTGAGAATTTTGAGAAACTGTCACAATTTCCTGATTGACCTACATCCATTCACCTGGTCAACAGACCATGATGCCTGAGTTAATGACTGTTGGGGGAGGGTGTGTGTTCATAAGGCTAGTAGGCACTCTTGCAAAAACATGACATTGCCTGGGCAGAGGAATGTGTATGAATCAAGCAAATACATTTTTATTGCTAGAGAAATAGTTTAGGGCACTGACTTCAGTGATGAGAGCTGGCTGATATGACAGACAAAAGACTTATTTTTGTTATTTAGATTTTTTTTTACTTGATTGCATTTCTGGAAAACATCACCTCCTTAGAAGCACAATGTGTTCGATATTATGGAGAATATCTTAACTTATATTTATCATCTTCCTTGAAATAAACTTTAACAGAGACTATGTAAAAATTTTACCTGAAATGAAAAGATTATTGCATAGTAATTATGTGCCATATGTTATTTCCATGCTCAATTTATATCAGTTTATTTAATATTTGCAACAACCCTATAAAGAAGACATTGCTATTATTGACTCTATAAAAATGAATTAAATTTGGGTTACACTTTCCTAGCTAATACAATTGTTCAATAAAATATTTCAGATGCTATTTGTATTTGATTTTATAATTTTTATCCTGAAAATCACCATAGAATATAATACAACCCACAAAAAACAAAACAAATCTAATTCCTGAAAAAGAAGTATGCAAAAGATTCTTTTAAATAATTTGCTTTGAATGAATCCAGTCTTCCTGGTATTTGGCAGAGCACAGAAGACATTCATCTTTGGAAATGAAACAGGACAGACAGTCCCAAGGGCAGATTAAGTATGGAATCTTTTGCAACTCAGCACTACAAAGTTCCCCTGTAGAGAACACATGTGTCATGAGAGATACAAGCTGCTTACGTTTTCTAAATCTTAGGATTATTCTACCTTACTATGTTTCCAATTTAATCAGTCATAGATGTATAAAATCACATAAATTTATGTAGAGGTGGGGAGGTAGAAGTGGAGAAATGAAAATATCTCAACATCATTGCACTTTTGCAACTTAAAATAGTAGATTTGTATGATAATCTTCTGACTTAGAAAATTCTATTTAAAAGTTACATGAGTTTGAAGACATTGTACATTGTGTTAGATTCTTACTTCATAGTGATCATTGATAAAATAAACTGTATGCATTGTCAGATTTTTAGAGATATTACTTAAATATGCTACTATATCATTTATATCAATAATTTGTTTTCACATAATCTCATTTTCAAGATAATAAAATAATAGTCTTAGAGTCTTTTAACCTCCTGTGTATCCGAAGATTACAAAGTTTTATTGTGTAAAGGTAAAGTGCATTTACATAAAAGCACACACAAAGACAACATTTACATTTGAAAGCTAAACCAAAAATTTGATAGACATTAGCCACATGTGGCTATATATATTTTTACTTAAATAAAATTAAAAATAAAAATAATCATTCCTTTAGTTGCACTGGTCACATTTACTTGCTTGCTTCCACCTGTGGCTAGTGGGTACCACACAGGACAGCACAGATCCCGCATTTCCAACACTAGAGAAAGATATTGCAATGCAAAGTCTTTTAGCAACTCCAAGCACATATTATTCACAACATAATATCAGTATAAATATTAGTTTAAAATATACTAAGTCAATATATATCTGCATGGTCTCATATGCTTATTGCTTAATCTTATTTTTAGAAGATTTTGTTTTGAGCAATATGAGCAAAGAACATAACCTTACCCTTTTTTACTTTCTTAAATATATACATCTGATAATTTCTGTTCATATAGTACCATCAAAGACTGTACTTTCTCCAATGTTATGTCCTATATGTGAAATATAATTATCTGGATTTGTACTAAACAAATCCAGAAGAAATAATTTCATAACATATTGATTTTAAATAATTGAAAGCTTCATGCCTAAATTTCTGAAAACTTAGCTGAGAAAGGATTGGACTCGTGGGAAATTTCAGTTTTTAAAGTTCATTGGTCTGGGTTTGATCCCCAGCATTGCAAGAAAAAATAAAAATAAAATAAAGTTCATTGGTTTCAGAATTATTGAAGCATACTAACTTTAAGTTGAACTTAAAATTGGAAAAGTGCACTTATTCCCTTCTTCTGGCTTATAAATAGACAAAGAATTTTTTCTAAAAATTATGAGTCACTAAAATCAAGGAATCTTTATGCAACAGATTAATTTCAAGTAATGAAATAAAAGACGTCATCAGAAGCCTACCAACCAAGAAAGGGTTGAGTTCTACACAAACTAAAAAGAAGAACTGATAGCTATACTCCTCAAATTATTCCATAAAATAAATAAGATGGAACATTTCCAAACACATTCTATGAGGCCAATATCACCCAGACACCACAATCAGACAAAGACACATGAAGGAAAGAACACTTCAGACCAATATCTCTAATAAAGATAGATGTAAAAACTCTCAACAAAATTTTGGCAAATTGAATACAAAAGCATATTAAAAAGATAGTGTACCACAATCAACTGGGGCTCATACCAGGGATGCAAGGTTGGTTCAACATATAGAAATCAATAAATGTAATTCATCACATCAATAAACTTAAAATATAACAGCCATATGATCATCTCAATAGATGTAGAAAAAGCATTCAACAAAATACAGCACCCCTTCATGTTCAAAACACTAGAAAAATTAGGGATAACAGAAACACATCTCAACATTGTAAAAGCTATCTATGCTAAGTCCCAGCCAACATCATTCTAAATGAAGAAAAATTAAAAGCATTCCCTCTAAAAACTGGAACAAGACAGGTATGCCCTCTTTCACCACTTCTATTTAACATAGTCCTTGAAACTAGCCAGTCCAATTAGACAGATGGAAGAAATTAAAGGGATACAGATAGAAAAGAAGAACTCAAACTTTCACTGTTTTCCAATGACATTATTCTATACCCAGAGGATCCAAAAAAAATCCACCAGAAAACTTCTAGAATTAGTAAATGAATTCAGTAAAGTAGCAGGATATAAATTCAACATCCATAAATCAAAGGTATTTCTGTATATCAGTGACAAATCCTCAGAAAGAGAAATTAAGAAAACTTCTCCATTTATAATAGCCTCAAAAAAACAAACAAAAAAATAAAATACTTGGAATCAACTTAAATAAAGAGGTAAAATATCTATATAATAAAAATTATAGAACCCTAAAGAGAAAAGTTGAAGAAGACCTTAGAAGATGGAAAGATATACCTTTCTCTTGGATAGGCAGAATTAATATTATCAAAATGACCATACTTCCAAAAGCACTTTACAGATTTATTGCAATTCCAATTAAAATTCCAATAACATTCCTCAGAGAAATAGAAAAAAAGCAATCATGAAATTCATCTGGAAAAATAAGAGACCCAGAATAACTAAAGCAATCATTAGCAGAAAAAGTTAAACAGGTGGCATCACTATACCAGACCTTAAACTATACTACAGAGCAATAGTAACAAAAACAGCATGGTATTGGCACCAAAACAGATTAGTAGACCAATGGTACAGGATAGAGGACACAGAGACTAACCCCCCAAATTACTGTTATCTTATATTATACAAAGGTGCCAAAAACATGCATTGGAGAAAAGAGCATTTTCAACAAATGGTGCCAGGAAAACTGGAAATCCATATGCAACAAAATGAAATTTAACCCTTATCTCTCACCATACATAAAATTCAACTCAAAATGAATCAAGGGCTTAGAAATACAACCGGAGACCCTGCATCTAAAACAAGAAAAAGTAGGCTCAATTCTCCATCATGTGGGAGTAGGCCCCAACTTCCATAATAGGACTCCTTTGGAGCAAGAATTAAAATCAAGAATCAATAAATGGGATGGATTCAAACTAAAAAGTTTCTTTTCAGAAAAAAAAAAAACAATCTGTGAGGTGAATAGAGAGCCTATATCTTGGGAGTAAATCTTTACCCCTCACACAACAGATAGAGCACTAGTCTTTAGGTTATATAAAGAACTCAGAAAGCTAAGCACCAAAAAAAAAAAAAAATTAACCCAATCAATAAATGAACCAAGGACCTGAACAGACACTTCTCCAAAAATGATATACAATCAACCAACCAACAAATATATGAAAAAATGTTCAACATCTCTAGCAATTAGAGAAATGCAAATCAAAACTACTCTAAGATTTTATCTTAATCCAGTCAGAATGGTAGCTATAAGAATACAAGCAACAATAACTTTTGGTGAGGATGTAGGGGGAAAAAGGCACACTCATACATTGCTGGTGAAACTGCAAATTGGTACAACCAATCTGGAAAGCAGTATGGTGATTCCTTGGAAAACTTGGAATAGAACCACCAATTGACCCAGCTATCTGACTCCTCAGTTTGTATGTAAAGGACTTTAAAACAGCATATTACAGTGATGCAGCCACATCAATGTTTATAGCAGCACAGTTCACAATAGCTAAATTGTGTAACCAACATAGATGCCTCTCAATAGATGAATGGATAAAGAAACTGTGATATATATATATACACACACACACACACACACACACACACACACACACACATATATATATGTATATATATATATAACGGAATATTACTTAGCTATAACAATAAACAAAATTTTGGTTGGTAAGTGGATGCAAGTAGAGACTTATCATGCTAAGTGAAATAAGCAAATCCCAAAAAACTAAAGGCCAAATGTTTTCTCTGATATGTGGATGCTGATCCATTATGGGGTGGAGGTGCATGGAGGAATGGAGGAACTTTGGATAGGACAAAGGAGAGCGAGGGGAAGGGAGGGGGCATGAGGATAGGAAAGATGATGGAATGAGATGGACATCATTACCCTAAGTACATGTATGAAGACACAAAGGATTTGACTCTGCTTTGTGTATAACCAGAGAAATGAAAAATAGTGTTCTGTATGTGTTCTTTGAAGTGAAATGCATTCTGCTATCATATTTAACAAAATTATAATACATAAATAAATTTAAATTAAAAATAAACCAGTTAGCTTGTGGTGCTGAATGAAGCTTTGCGAGAATTCTTGGAGGATATTGCCATGTGGTCTCTAAAGTTTGTAAAGCCTGTGAGTACAGCATGGTGTCTCTCTCTCAACTACAAAATTCTGAAGAGGTGCCAGGCAAGCAGTTGTGAATCTCAGGTGAGATTATGAGAAAGGCAGAAGAGCAAGCTAAACTTTGCCCTGTTTGGCATGACACAGATGAATGCTTTTCCCAGGTGTGTGAAAGAGTTCCACAACCGTATTACATAAGAGATAAAGTCTGAACAATTATCTCTTTAAACACCAATCACCAATATCTTTTACCCCTTCTTTTTTTTTTTCTTATGATTATTGTTCCTATCCTAAAAGAATCAGAAATAGTTGAGATGAATCATTTGTTCTTATATTGAAGTCCTAAGCCATGATTCAGACACTAGGTGGTGGGAGAAGGATGGGAATCTTAAAATTATATTATGTGAGCTGTTGATATATACCTGGCCAGTAGTTTTAATTCTTGAAATTTACTAGAAAGTTCTGACACTTTTTTCTGAGATGTTGTTGTAGAACAGGGACAAGAGCAAATTGAAGGCAGGTATTGCAGAAAAGTAGAAATTTTCTCCTTGTTCTCTCAACAAATTTAGACCTTTCAATACATTTGTTACATATATAAACCAAATTCTTTCCTAGATGGCTATCTCAGAAATGAGTGTCATTGGTCCAAATGGGAAGTGAATGAAAGAAGATGGATGGTTGCTGGTAATTCATCACTTACAGAAAGGAAGCAGACACATTGAAAATGCATAGGTTATGGGCAGGAGTCGTTATCTCGGGTTTTTCGAGTCCACTCAAACAATTTCTGTTCACTTTTTCCTACTTTAAAATCATTTTCTTTGATAGAGTGGAGAGGAGTTGAACAGCTCTGTTTTCTCACTATGCTGGTCTACTTCAAAATATAACTTTTTCCCTTTCTTTGTTTATGATTTTGTGTTTTCTGCCAGAGAAACTCAAGGTTTTCTGCCTGTTCCCTTAGGCATTTTGCTCCCTCTGATGTTTGCTTATTCTAGGACCTAATTTCCTTTCACTTTTCCATATAAAATTTTGTTACTCTTTGGTTTGCCCTTCAATATCCACCTTTCTTCTCTAGTTTTTACATGGTCTTCTATCTTAAAAGCTACCTTAAATTTATGGGTATCCAAATATTTCTGAATATCTACTTCTATTTTCTTTTCTTTGCAGAAAGAAATTAAATGTTGAATTTCTGTATCATTTTTATTCATAAAGCCTTATTCTTTTTCTCCACATGATAAGGTAGTCTTACATAATTTCAAATATCTTTAGGTATTTCACACTTCTTAAATCATTACCTAAATACGTATTCCCATTCTTCTATCTCCTGCTTCATTTATATTCCAATAGGAATATGTGTACTTTTGTGAAAAAATAATTATACTCATTTATCCCTTTCCTTAGAATTTTGCTCTAGCAGAATTCTTTCTTAATTTTGTCTTTGTTGTTGGGTTTTTAAAAAATGATTTTGTTGTTGTTGTTATGACTCTTCATTGGTTTGCATTTAGGGAATATTATGTAACATTTTATTTTTGGAATAAATTGTTGTTTTATTTTGGGCCAGCTATATGATTAGTTTTAATAAATATTTTTAAGAACAGATTGATAGATTAATATTCTCTGCTTGTAAGACACACAGATTCTCCAAACAAAATATACTCTTCACTTTATATAATTATTTCTATGAAGGTTAATTATATGTGTCAATTTTACTGGGCTGAGGAATGCTCTGATAACTAACTAAAATATTAGTTCTGGGTATTACTCCAAGACTGATTCTGGAAGAGATTCACATGTGAATCTGTAGACAGAACAGAGATCATCCCTAATGCAGGTAGGTATCATCCAGTCTTGTAAGAACAAATCCATTGAGTAGAACAAAAGAGAGAGAAAGGGTGAACCTGTTTGAGGTGGGACATATCTCTCATCTGTCAAAATAAGAGATCTTGGTTCTTGGACATTCTGACTCAGACCAACATTAGCTACAAACTCACTTCGATCTCAGGCTTCTGGACTCAGACTGAATCATACTGCTGACTTGCTTGGTTCCCAGCCTGCAGATAGGAGGTTGTGGGATATCTTGGCCTCAGAACTTCTGTGAACCAGTTCTAGAACATGTCTCCTCCTATATGGATACACATTAGCAAGGGTTCTCCAGAGAAATACATGATCCTGACTAATGCAATCTCTTGTTTATATTGTTTTACTACAATTCTCTATTATGATCATGGTTTTAACACATTCTACTTTTATTTATGAGAAGTCTCAGTTGTCAAAAATATGAACTTTACAACTTTACACTTCTTTACTTGTATTACCAAACAATGATTGAACTCTTCTATGTAATCACAATGTGACTCAAGGATCTAGTATGGAATCCATACTTAAATACATTCTGTTGTCTTACTGATGCCCTTTATAGTAGTTTTATTTAAAAATTCAAGATCCAACTGAAATAGTTAATTGCATTCAGTTGCCATATACAATTTACATTTTATTCAAAATACTTTTTATACTATGCTAATTCAAGTAATTTAGTTCATTTATAATGCTCTATCTATGAAATACATATACTTACAAATTCTGTATATATGTATATACACGGAATTTATTCATAAACTCTCCTTTTGTTAAAATTCAGGCGACTCTATCATTATAAACAATGCTGCTATAATCATTCTTATAAATGTCTTTTTATGCATATGGACATAATTTCTTATGTGTGAACTAGAAAAATAATTTTCTATTTGGGTAGATATGTACATACTTACAATGGATATTACCAAACTCTAATTAATTGCTCCAATTAATATGACCAGGAATTTTATATATAAATCTATATTATTTATTTATTTATTTATTTTGGTACTAGGGGAACCTAACCACTAAGTCACATTATAGCTTTTTCTTTTTCTTTTTGTTTTTCTTTTT